CGACTGAGTTGTGCTTAAGTTAGTCAAAAGGGGCATTTTTGCGGTTTAACTGTTATATCTCGTAAAGGACTTAGAGTATCGAAAAACTGTAATTCATAACATAACCTCCAACTATCCAGCTAAATTGTACCTCATCAAGGTATCAGTTTGACATTCATCATCATCATCATCATCATTTCAGCCTTAGGACGTGCCGATGCTTTCCATGTTGATCGATTGGTAGTTTGACATTACGACATATTTGTTGTCAATATAATTTAATGCTTCCTTACTATGTCACTAGAAGTGTATCAGGAACTTCCACGAGGGTCAAGATGCTTAAACCTAAAATTGACGCTGTTCCCGCCTACCAGACTGTAAATATTTAACTACGTCGGACGTGGAGTATACTCGACTTTGTATAGTCGGTGGCATAGACTACTGAAGATAGTAGAAGCAGCAGTTCCAGACAATGCAAATTAAAGAAAAAACTTTGACATTTAAAATCAAATAGAATAAATTACTAGCTATGTTTTTGTCCATGATTTATGTTTTGAACTTCTTGTATTTTCCCTTTAAACTACAGTATAAAAGAGAAAAAAACTATTATTTGATGTAGGAGACGACACATAAAGTTAAATATAGTGGCTTTTTATCTAGCTGTATACAGGTCATGCTCTTACTGTACAAATGGGCTGGCGAAAAAATAAAAAAAATAAAGATTAGTAGTACTTCTGCAAAAATAATTCCTTAAAATATGATTGGACTTTTGGAACCTATCTCAGAGTTAGATAAATAATAATAAATAAATAATATCCTTGGAAATTTTACACTGCGCCGCTCGATGTATCAGACATTTAAATGTATTTTTTTAGGATGTTTATGACCGAATTATAGCAATTTTAGATGACTTAAATCGTTTATTTAAAACAGAACCTTTTTTTTGTTGGAAATAATAAGCCAAAAATAATTATTTTTCCACAGCCAACCTATTGAAAACTTATTTAATGTTTATTCTATACATAAACTTGTCTATGGCAATGCAAACGGACATGCATAATGTATACCCGATTGCGGCATAACGCCCCTTTTTATTACGACTCCTGTGGATTTTATTTATTGTTCTGATTTATTATTGAAGGCACAACTTTACGGGCTTTCGCTGAAAACGGTCCACTGGTTTTTGGTAGGAAATTAATGTAGTTGGGATGAATACCTACGATATTCATATTCGAACATTTTTTAGTTTGTTATTGAATATGTGTTGATATTGTCTTATGAAAGATGTCACTATCAGAGACAGTTATAGTATTTTTATAAGCTGTAAAAATGCACTAGTCCTGTCATATTATTGCAGAATCATTTTTTTTATCATTTATCATTTGAACAAAAACAGTACCAACCTACCTACACGATTTTATATCGATAGCACTTAAATATGACTAAGTCACTCACTATTAACAAAGATTGATATCAAAGCTACTGAAAATCAAACTATGTTACACCACATTTTTTTTATTAATACATTGAAAACCAACTCGATTTTCAGGGAACAGAAATCTTACTCAGAGGTTAGAATTAGTGTTTTTAAAAAGTTGTCTTGGAATTTTTTTTTAATGGTAAAGTACTTAACTTAAAGGACCAATGCGAAAATATAACGCACGCGGTTTAAAAAGGCTGAACGGCAAATGGTTATTTGAGCGGGTCATAAAGAAAAGTTGTTAATTGTCGTAGGCGTGTTAAAAGTCAATGCAAATTACTCGTGTTAAAACCATTGTTAAAACCAATTTTATGAGCTAACGTTTCCAATGACTTTACATACGCTGCGCCAGCTTTAAAGTCATTTACGATTATAGCCGTCGATTTTGTCGTATGTGCACATACGGCATTGTACCGATTATTAACCCTTTATAACCGCTTTTACATTTATGGTCGTTATTTCGGTTAAAAGCCGCTTAAAAGGTCAAGGTTGCTTTCCAATGCTCTTTAGAGGCATTACGTTTTTTATTTGATTTTATTATGTCATCATCTGTATGATTGTAACTACGAGTACACTTATGGTTTTGTTTGGTAACGATTTTGTTATCCCCAGACAGATTTTAAAGAAATTTCTTAGTTAAAAAATCCTATTTATCTAGCACCAAGCTAAGTAGAGCAGTACTTTCGTCTTTAGCAGGAGCAAGACCCTCTCTAATTGACAAATCCTGTGTAATTTTCTAGACACAAATGAGAGATTTGGCCAAATGAAACTCCCCATGCTGGCTAGATGGGTTGGTTTTTAACACACTTTCATGTGTCCCATAGTAGCACGAAATAACTAATCAGTTAATTACTAATTATATCACTTGCAGACAAATCGATCGTCTGTCGAATACTAATTAATACTTTGTATACATTAATATTATAAAGAGGAAAGATTTGATAGTTTCCTTGTTTGTTAACTCCCGACGCAAAAACGACGAAGTGTTATAAGTATTGAATAGGCTCTGAAACTTCTGGATTGATTCACAAAGTTCGCCAGCTATCTATTTACAAGTCTAACTTTAGTCTGCTATGGATTGTTTTGGCTAGAAATTAATAGACGCCCACACAAGAAATCTAATTCGTATCTTCACAAAACTGGTTCTTTGTTCATTCAAAATTTACGTAAGATTCCCAGGTTGTTCGCCTTCATGTATTGATTGACAGCAGCCGGAGCTGAAATTTATACCGAAAGAACGTTGGCCGATATAAGGCGGGGTTTTGTAGGGTTGACTTTTTATGAAGATATTGTTTTCTTAATTTGTTTTTTATATTGTAGTTCATAATATTGTGCTTATTTATTCAATCTACATACCAAACTTGCGAACATTTTCTTCATTCTGTAGTTCTTAATGTTGTGCTTATTTATGCAGTTTACATACCAAACCTGCGGGCATTATTCCTTTGAAATAAAGCCGCCGACACCAAGTCACCGGTCGGCGGGCTTGGTGTCTAAGGCTTAGTTAGAGTCCTTTAGAAGGATGGATCATCTTTTATATTTTAACATTTCAATGTTATCTTTGACGACTAATTTTCGGCTTATTTTTAGGTACTACCTAGGTACTTCAATGTGTAAAATATTGCCAAGAGTTTTCGATTTTTTTGACAGTAAGCTAATGGATAGAGGTGGAAGGGATGAAGGTCATTGATGATCCTGCTCCAATCTTCCTTTCATTACAAAAATTAACACTGCTGTATGTTATTGAAACAGAAAAATTTCAAAACTCGCGAGCAAAAGTATGGAATCACCTTATTTGTTATGAACGATCGTTAGAACTAAATGACTAATAGAAGATAAATAAAAATGGTACCATTTTAAAGGTATATACTTTAAATTAATACCATAGATACATTCATAGGCATTCAGTTCTTATGATGGCTCGAAACAAAACACAAGGGTATCATTCCATACTTTTGCTCCCTATAGTTTTCAGTAGAGACAACCCTAGCACCGACTACGATAGTGCGTGCTTGTCTCATTCAAGTAGGCTCTGTTAAAACGACAGTAATGATAAATTATCGTGCACTAGACAATTGAGTCGCACACGAAACTGATATCGACCAAATTCTAATAAGACAGAGAGTACCTACTGTCTGATGTCGGGGAATTCCATGAAAATATGTATTGTACGTTCAATTCTGTATTATTTAGATGTTATTGAAAAAAAATCTATGCGATTTGTGTTAGATGGCTTTATTTAAATACCTTTTTTATGCAACACAAAGCAGGTTCTAACGGAAATATTCCCACCTCTCGTTCCCACCTCGTACAGTTTGACCGCCAATAAATCCCCATCCGAGAAGGTCTTTGTTCCAAGGGAACAAAACAAAGGTTTAAGTGACCTTTAAGAAAAATCTTGTGAGCCATTATTTACCTTGTATTTTTGGCGAGCTAAAAAAAGCTTTTTAATATCGCTTAAAACATGGTTCCTTGACAAAATAAATAAAACATTTATTCGCTGCAATCTTAGGGATACAAATTGAGTCACTTACAAAGATCGGTGTAATAAGTAAGAGTACTTGTTAATTGAAGAAACATACGTTAGGTTGTATTTAAAAGCATTCTGCCACGTTCATGTTATAAAACCATGCTACAAACAACAAAAGCGATAGTAAATATTATAATGATAGCAAATATTATAATGATAGCAAAATCATAACATCAAAAATGTCAATAAAAGGCCATACAATATTGACCTTTCAGGCCTCCTTTTCATAACAATAGGTGTGAGTAAATACCATGGTTTTCAGCAAAATGCTTTCAGGCATTGTTCGCTTAGTTAACGCTATAATGTCGGCAACCTTTATTATCTGCCGGAAGTGAGCCTTCAACTCGGCCTTGGGATCTACTTCCAGTTTGCGTATTACATAGTAATATCTATTAATAAAAACATTAGGTGTATTACTTTCCGTGAACGTTTTATCTACTAGTTAGATGTGAACGTGTTATTAGAAAAACTCTTAAATATTTGCTTTTAGATTTCTGATGTTCGTCTTTATTTCAACGAAGCTGCATACGAATGCCCAAGGACAAACTCGCGGCTCCGTTTCATTGGATTCCGTAGGACACCGTCGAGTTTTAACGGGCCCTATGGTGTCCAAATTACATTATGATTCGATTGGAGTCCTAACTTTGTGTCATACTGTCATTAAGCCCGTTTTACTGTTGTCGACGTTAGACGGAGCCACGGTTGATCATCATCATCATCATCATTTCAGCCATAGGACGTCCACTGCTAAACATAGGCCTCCCCCAATGATTTCCACATCGCACGGTTGGTAGCGGCCTGCATCCAGCGCCTTCCTGCTACCTTTATCAGGTCGTCGGAGCCACGGTATAAATGATCTATTACTCCTAGATCATTTGTACCGTGGCTCCGTCTGACTCCGTTTCATTAGGCTCAGATAGACATCGTCGTGGAGAGCCCTACATAACCCACTATTAGGGTTGGCAAATGTATTTTCTGGAGAAAAGGGCCAAACTGAAGTTTTCCACTTACCTTTGTCGTCAGCTCGGAACTCGGCTTCCAGCTCGGCTTTGCTCGGCTCCGGCTCGGATTGCTGCGCCTGTGGCTGCTTGCTGGCCTTCATGCTCATGGTTTTCCTCGTCTTGTGTCCTCGGAACGCTGCCTGGATCTTCGTCGCCGCCTGTTCTTCTGACGGCTGGACTTCTGATTCGCCTTTCTGTTTCTCTTCTGTGGAAGAAGATGGTTGGATTTAGTTTGGGAGTTTTTTAAAGATAAGTTTTTATAAAGGTGATTATACTCTAGCTCAGGGGTTCCCAAAGTAAGACCTTTAAAGGGGGGCGCGGGCCGAATGTTTAGTTAAGTATTAAAATACCTGGGACCGCTGCGATAATACATTCCAGACAGCTCGATCGTAATATTGCCATAAAAATCTTTTAATTTCTGCAAAAAGGCGTTTATAAAGCTTTGACACGTCCCAGTATAACTACTGTAACCTAACTACATCGAGATAATAAGTGGGCCAGCGCAAGAAATGCCACTTTTAACTTAAAACTTGTACATCAAACATTATCGGCATTCAGAATAATCCATGATTAAAATGATCTCTACATTAATCCTTTTGTAGTTCAGAAATTTCAGACTTATAAAGTCAAACTTGTTAACAAAACGAAATAATTTTTTTGATCAAAATTAAGTAGGTACCTACGTACCGACAAAATCTTCAGATCTGTTAAATTAAAACGAACAACTCATAAACGTTTCGTATTTATTGCCAAAGTAAGAAAACTCATTTATGTTTTATGTCAAAACAAATAAATTAAATTTCCCCCATATTAGGCACTCCTAGCACGTGCAGCAATCGAACTGCAATCATATTACCAGTACAAAGGTCTCAAAATTGAAATACGTGTCGACACTGCAGATCTGGACTAAGTCCATCCCTGGCTGAAGCCGTCGTAGAGCACGTTCTCGTAATGAAACTACTGCACTTAAGGTAATTACGGACTGCATTTGTTGAACAGGGACGTATTTTAAAGCTTTTTTTCCTTACTCTAATAATGGTGTTAAAGATGCCTCTTTTTAAAAGAATAAAAAATAATTTAATTTAATTTGTTTTGTGTCTGGCCGACTCGTGATCCGGGGAACGCGGTTTCGGTCCCCGCCGCCGCTCGACTATTGTGGTGAGATCACTCGTGATACAAGCATATTTAGCTTAGTACGAAGGGCTAACGGGAATATCAGTAATTTGTGTAATAACAAATTACTAATAATCTTAAAAAAAATAGTTCCGAACTCTCGAGATTGGCTTAGTTAAAAATAAATGCTTGTGTAACCAGTGGGTTCACCACAACAGTCCATCGCCTCTCCTTACTTTTACACGTTCCAAGATATTTATTTTTGCCTAAAGGCCAAGTTTCTTTAAAAGGACAAGCGAAGTTCCTGGAACTCATAATGCATCAATCCCCTAAATACTCAAACTGAACAATGGGCCAAGTGCTGGGAACTTTTCCAGAACTGTGGAGCTTTGAAAATTAAATGAAATTAGATGAAGCCTTGCCAAAAAGTTTTTTGAGAATTCGCTTTCGACGTTAATATATTTTAAGGAAATATAAAGTATATTTCCTTAAAATATATTAACGTCGAAAGCGATTCTCTAATTATATTAAAAACCTACGCTTATAAAATACTTTCAATATTTATCGAACCATAAGAAAATTGAAGTACTTATGTAAAGATGTCAATTTTAGGTAAGCTGCAACTAGTTTTATCTGTTTATTGTTTATGTATTACATCTAAACTGCTGAACCGATTTTGAAGGAAATGATTTTGAGTTTTAACTACCTCGCTTTTTGAATCGGTTAAAAGTGTTGTACATCACGGGCCTTAAGACGTAGGCCCTCACTAGATGTACCGACGATCTGGCGAAGGGGCCTGGATCGGGCAGCGAGGACCGGTCGTTATGGAAACCCTTGTGGGAGCCCTTTGTCCAGCAGTGGACGTCATTTGGCTGAATCGCACTCGTACATAAATACTTATATCATATTGGTTTGCCCCTGGTTAAATGTACAATCAACGCAATGTACCGTAACCAATATTCAAATTAAGTTGTCCATTGTAACATTGTTATTCTTTATTTATTTCAACTTTATTGTACCACAAAGGTAATGAAATTCATGCCCTAGCTTTATCGGTGAACCGATTTTATCAAAGTGATAAATTGCTTGTTAAAGTGGTCAAATTATTGTGTCTTCTATTAAACACGATTTTAATATTTTCGTTATTTATGAGTCGGTAATATCTTGATTACTATGTTACAAATTAATGGCTTTTGTGTCGAGAAAGTTATTATTTTCTTTTTACTAATACTTCAAATATTAGATTCTGACTAATCATCATCATCATCGTCATTTCAGCCACAAGACGCCTTGAACATAGGCCTCCTCCAATGATTTCCACATCGCCCGGTTGGTAGCGGCCTGCATCCAGCGCCTTCCTGCTATCTTTTATATATCAGTTCACCTAGGGGACGTCTCACGCTGCATTTTCCGGTATGTCCACTCTCCAGACTAATATTTATTGCATCATTCCACCAATCACAACTACTTAAGGTACCAGTACGGTACACACCACAGTTTAATCTGAGATGCCGTCAATTCTTTTGCTAAAAAAAACAGTTTTCTCCGACCTTAATCCGGCTCTGTGTGAAATGAAATTAGACGAATTCGTGCCAAGACCGGTTTTTGAAGGCTTTGTACTCGCAGCGTTTACCTAAGTGTTTTCTGGCAGTGTTTCAAATTAACAATCACTTCGGATCGAGTTGAAAAAGTTATTTCTTTAGATTGAAAGTAAATATTTAAACAAGGAAATATTTTCAGCTGTACTTACATAAACTTGATGCCACAGAACGTGAAAGCTACAGAACTAAAGTCCGGTCGCCGAGCATGTAGAATTTCGTCCAATGACCACAAGTTACCCATCCTCATCGCTCACGCGTTTTATTTTTAATTATTTAGGACTTCTTTTGTTTCTCTTCTCTTGCTTTTGTCGTCGTACTGAACTGTCATGGTTTCAATATATTTGTAAAACCGTAAAAGAAAGTATTGCTGTCGCGACTGTGCGACGGGCGGCCGCATTGAGTGTGCGAGCGCGACAGCAATATAATGACGCGCGAGTGATAAGGATAGGTCGGTCATTGGACGAAATTCTACATGCTCGACGACCAGACTTTAGGAGTATAGTCGCAATAGATATCTCTACTGTTACATCTGTCCATCCTTTTTACTCATAGCGATATGCTAACGTTAGGTATTAGACAATTCAGGGTGGAATCGATAAACAATCTCAGTCGATTATTTCTTAACTACACAAGATATAAAAAAAAACTGGTTACTGATCCAGATAGTACTTCACGAGCTCTATCAAACGGTATCAATAACAGGTTAAAGAATGAACTGGATCTACCCGAAAATGCAATATTTCTAGTAATTTTATTGTTATTTACGAGTATTTTTCAAACGATCTTCAAACCCGGAAGGCGTTTGAGAGGCTCTTCAAAAGATAGACTAACGAGTCTGAACCACAACGTAGCCTATTGTTACAAAAGAATAGAAATTTTATTTCAGTCCTTTCAGAGAAACTCCAAGAAATTCAACGAGCAAAACGCAATTTGGACATAGGGGAGACCGAGGAGAGTTGTAACAGAGGAGAGTTATGACGATGTCGATTTTTGGAAACCTTAGAGTGGTGTGAGTTTATGTGAAACGCATTTGAAATCGACTGCGTTAAGAAATATAGTTAATGCGCGTTAAAAAAATAAAGTAATAATTTAGTTCTTGTAGGTGGACGTCCCACGCTGCGTTTTCCGGTACGCGGCCTCCATTCCAGAACCTTTCTGCCCCATCGGCCGTCAGTTCTGCGTACTATGTGCCCTGCCCATTGCCACTTCAGCTTGCTAATCCGTCGGGCTATGTTAGCGACTTTGGTTCGTTTACGGATCTCCTCATTTCTGATTCGATCTCGCAAAGAAACACCAAGCATAGCCCTCTCCACGTACAAGCTGGACCGACGACATCGTAAAGGTAGCAGGAAGCGCTGGACGCAGGTCGCTACCAATCGATCAACATGGAAAGCATTGGGGGAGGCCTATGGCTGAAATGATGATGATGATGATGAATTTAGTTCTTGATGGTTTCCGCTAGGGGCGCTGTCCAATCCATCATACGTTTAAAGTCACTTGTTTATCCAGTCGATTTCGAATGCGTTTGACATAAACTCCCTGTTAACTATCAGCGAGCTCACAACAGCGCGCATTTGTTAGCTCGAGACTTGAAATAAAAACGCGCACTGTTATGAGCTCGCTAGTGGTTGTGTTACAAAAAATCGACTAAGTCAGAATCTCTTCTGTTACAACTCACCCCAGTCTCCCCTACACAGAAATATTTAGAGTGGTTCCCAGAAAATTTGGAGTTGGAATAAAAAATTCATTGTAAAGAACTGTAAAGTTTAATTGAATTCCTCAATGGTAGATTGGAGATTTTACTATCATTTTTGTTAGCTTTAAAAAGAATTTAATTTAGACGTTTCTAGAGTTAAAAAATAGTTGAATTCTTCATTTTATGAATTGCGATGTGAATGAAAGTTTTTAATTTTTTATTGCGGTTTCTTTTTATGGTTACTGGTTTAGGGTTCTGAATCTTGTACCCAAAGGATACCTTAGTCAAAAAAATGTTGCACGACCATTTCGCACTCCCATGTCCCCAGATCTTAAAAACTATATTTGACAGAAAATGCAATCTATACTAATATTAATGCGAAAGTAACTCTGTCTTGCTTTCACGCCTAAACCACTGAACCGATTTGGATGAAATTTGGCATAGAGATCGAGTCCCGGGAAAGGACATAGGATAGTTTTTATCCCGGTTTTTAAAACAGGGACGCGCGCGATAAAGTTTTTCTGTGACAGACAAATTCCACGCGGGCGAAGCCGCGGTCGGAAAGCTAGTGTAAAATAAATAAGAGAGAGAAAAATTAAGGAAAACTATCAAGTAAAATCTTGAGTACGTGCTAAACCGCTCTCAAGAAAGATCCAACCACTCGGCGAGGATATTTACATTCACTTAACATCACAGCGAGTGGACACTCGACTCGAGTCGATGTATCGAGTACTCGAGTGTTCTTAGCCGCACTCGAAACGTTATGGATTCAATTCTATTCTTCTAGATTCTTTT